ATCATCATCATCACCACCATCATCATAATCATCCTCATCATCACCATCATCATATCATCATCACCATCATCATCATCATATCATCACCATCATCATATCATCATCATCATATCCCCATCATCATCATCCTCATCATCATCATATCATCACCATCATCATCATCCTCATCATCATCATATCATCACCATCATATCACCATCATCATCATCCTCCTCATTCTCCTCATCTTCATCCTCCCCATCATCCTCCCCATCATCATCATCATCATCCTCATCATGATCATCATCCCTGAGCTCTGCAGCTCCACATTCCTGATGGGAGAAGGGGAGATGAGGAACTGAACCCACAACCACCAGCCCGAAATCCTTCAAAAAGCCACAAAGTGGAGAAAACAAAACTTCCAAACTCCACATTTTGGATTTGGGATTTCTGGGAATGGCCCAGAAGGTTCAAATCCAGAGGGAAAATCGCTCCTGGGACAATTCTGGGGGATCTGTCCCAATACCTGCCACAGTTTCAGCTTAGTCATTCCCAAAAAAAACCCAAATCCAAGCTTTTGCCTTCCAAATTTAAAATTCCCAGATTTTACATCTTTAATCACGCACTGGCTCAGATCCAACTCCAACCTCCATTTCCCTGCCTTTCACCATCCCTGATCAAATCCCTGCTCCGACATCACCCCCCAGCTCTTTTTTGGGGTGCAGCGCTGATCCCAAACTCCAGAGAAGCAGCTGGAAGTTCTGGAGAGCTCTGGGAACCTTGGAGCAGCTGGAAAATAAAATTCCTACAAGAATTCACCCCAAAATACCTGTCCATAACGAGATTGCCGTCGTTATTCCGCACCGCTGTCCACATATCCCAAAATTCCGCCTGTGAGGGCTGCGTGTAGGGCCCAAAAACCGCCCCGAGCCTGGAAAAAAAGGGAATTTGGAGAGAGATTTGGCAGAAATTGGAGAAATCTGGAGAAATTGGAGAAATTTGGAGAATTTGGCAGCAGTTTTTTAGCAGCAAAAACTCCCCCCATTTTTGAGGGAAACTCAAATTCCAGTGCTTTCAATTTCCACGGCAAAACTCCCAAGTGGTAAAATGTCCCATAAATAAGTGGGGATAAGAGTTGATGGCCTAAAGAGGGGTTTTTTTTTGGAAAAAAAGAGGGTTTTTAACAGTTAAAAATATTGAAATTTGATTGTGCAGGGGGTCTTGTTGCCTCTGAAATGGGTGATTCCAGGGAAAAGCTGGTTTATTATTAAGCTGAAGTGCTTGGTGGAGAGGGAAAGGTCCAGGAGGTCAATTTGGGAGGGATCTGCTCCTCTGCCAAATCCATGCTGATTGAGGGAATCGTGGAATTTTTGGGGTTGGAAGGGAATTTTAGGATTTTTCAATGTCACTTCCCACCATCCCAGGCTGCTCCAATCCCAATGTCCAGCCTGGCCTTGGGCACTGCCAGCGATCCAGGAATTCTCTGGGAATTCCATCCCAGCTCCTCCCAGCCAGGAATTCATTGAATTCCCTTATTTTCCCTTTCCCCCATCCCTATGGATGTACCAAAACCCRACTCACCCTTGGGAGAAGAAGAAGAAGTTCATGAGCCGCAGGAGGATTGGCGACAGCAACCCCCCGTCCTTGAGGAGCTTGGGAAGGAGGAAAACGTGGATCAATGCTCAAAACCTCCACAGAGAGCTTCTCCCATCCCTTGAGATGTCCACGGGTGTGTTTATTTGGGATTTTGGGGTTTGGTGGGATTAGGAAAGGAGAGCTCACCGTTTGGATGAAGCGGGGGTAGTACGTCTCCGGAAAAATCCCTGGAAGGACAGCRGAGAACAGAGCGGTGATTGTTTTGTTGGGAGTGTTTTGTTTTGTTCCACATTTCCCGGTTTTTTCCCTTGGTGGTGCTGTGGAATCAGCACAGGGAGCCCCAGCATGGCTGCTCTGGGTTAGAGCTGCTTGATTGCAATCCTTGGGATTTGGGGGATGGAGATGGGAAATCCCATAGGTTCCAATCCCATGGATCCCCATCCCATGGCTCTCCATCCCATGGATCCCATCCTACGGATCCCCATCCCATGGATCATCATCCCATAGGTCCCCATCCCATGGATCCCATCCCATCCCATAGATCCCCATCCCATGGATCATCATCCCATGGATCCCATCCCATCCCATCCCACAGATTCCCATCCCTCCCATCCTGTGGATCCCATCCCATCCCACAGATCCCCATCCCACAGATCCCATCCCATGGACCCCATCCCATCCCACACATCCCATCCCATGGACCCCATCCCATCTCACGAATCCCATCCCATGGATCATCATCCCACAGATCCCATCCCATGGATCCCATCCCATCCCACAGATTCCCATCCCTCCCATCCTGTGGATCCCATCCCATCCCATGAATCATCATCCCAGATTTCCATCCCTCCCATCCCACAGATCCCATCCCATCCCACGGATCACATCCCATGCACAGATTCCATCCCATGGATCCCAATCCCACAGATCACATCCCATGGACCCCATCCCACAGATCCCATCCCGTGGATCCCATCCCATCCCATCCCATCCCATCCCATGGATCATCATCCCATGGATCCCAATCCCACAGATCACATCCCATGGACC